GTGTCTGGATATGTTTCGTTGAGAATCATACACTACCAGATCACGTGCTCTGACACTACTTCACATGTTTGACACTAGCGCCGACCAACGGCAGTGAAAAATGGAATTAATTTTAGTCGGTGTTGCGGGTAATATGAATTGGGCTCTCTCTTATTATATAAAGAGGCGATACGTTAAATATGTTTTATCGAACCCTATTCCTCATTATGTCATCTCATATTTTAACAAAGTATAATTTGTGTTAGCAGATAATACCCCATTATCTATCGCACGCATTAAGGAAGTTTTGAACATTTATCGCCTTGCAATTGAAGGCGTAAAAAGTGAGTCACTGGGATCAATATCTTTCATATCTAACTGTTCCTGAGTGTGTGCTCACTACACGTGTATACCGTCAACAAAATATATGTAGATATGTTTCGTTTAGCACCGTACAGTACCACTCATGCGCAACACTAGCGCTAACAAACGGCTACAAAATGTACGAAATCGAGATGTTAGGGTGTTTGGACTTTCTCTTGTTACATATTAAGGGAGGTATTATGCTAATTATCCCATTATAGAACACGATTCCCTACCTATGCCCTCTCCATTACAAATGCTCAATTCTAACAGAATGTGTTTTATGTTAGCAGGCAGTAGCCTTAGGTATGCGCGCACACACGCCTGTTAAAATCTATCGAACGCTTCAAGGTTTTGAAAGATTTTCCACCTTATAGTTACTGAAGGATTGGGGTCGACATTTTTATATCTACCTATTCCAGAGTATGTTCCCACTGCAGGTATATTATTTCAATACAAATTGTATATAAATATATTTCATTTAGAATCACACACTACTTCGCCTCCTTGCTTCGCATGAGCGATATACTAGCGCCGACCAACGGCAACAAAAACTATACAGAATCGGGATGTTAAGACGCTTAATTGGGTTCCTTCGTAGTTCGTACTATAGAAGTGAGGTAATATGTTAAACATCTCTCATACAGCTCCATTCCTCATTATGTCCTCTCTCTTTAAATAGACAATTTTAACAAATAGTGATTTACGTTTTGACACACGCCTGACACTATAATATATCTTATGTATCGAACATTTTCCGCCTGACAACTACTGTCATGAGTCATTGGGATTAACATTTCCCATATCTATCTACCTCTGAGGGTGTGATTCTTACAGGTATATATTACGTATGGATATGTTTCGTTATACACTCACTATACACTACGCCTCATGCGCGACACTAGCGCCGACCAACGGCAGCGAAAATGTGCCTAATTTTATTCGACGGGATGTTGAGCTTATTGTATAAGGGAAACAAGGCGATAAATATTGTTCATAGAAAGCTGTTTCTGAGTATGTCCACTCCATTTTAAATTGATATTTCCAAAAGTCTGGTTTCCTTTAACATTCTTGTAAGCATGCGAAGAGAATTGTCTGACCCTATCATTTATATCTCACGTTTTAAGGATGTTTAAAAGATTTGCCGCCGTATAATTAACGAAATGGGTCAGTGGGATAATCATTTTCTCATCAAACTATTTCTGAGTATGTGCTCACTAGGATTAGGCGGTATAACTTCAACAACAATATACATATAGAGCTGTAGCTAGGGTGGGGAGAAGGGACTGTTTCCCCCTCAGGGCTTGACAGCGGCAACGACGATCTACGCACGGTAAACTGTCCAGAACGTAAGGCGGGTGTGGCCTTGCTCCTCCAGGCAAAATAAGGTAGCTAAAGCCCATGGTAAGGAACTGGGATCGACATTTTAGAGAAAACTATTAGTGACTCCTTCCTCTCTAGTTCACATGTATTATTTCGAACAACAATCCTAATTGTTTTGCCACCATGCACATATACTACGTTTCACGCGAGACACCAAGGTTGACCAACGCCACAAAATAATTGTCATCTTGGTTTCCTTATAAATACGTATAGTTTGCAGCATGAGGCCGTACATAGTCCACGCTGTGTGAGTACATGCTTGGCATCTGCTAGACGAAACAACATTCTGTAGAAATCGCACATAGAGAGAAAACACACTCGCGTGTTGTATGATACAGAAATCGTCAGTTCTAATGCTTTCATCTTACAGTACAACTATACACTGACAAACAAATGCTTGTTTTGTTGAACTATTATACAATATATAACTACTATAATATTATTATTATATTATTGCATTATACGCTTAGGATAAAATGTAGAAACTCACGAGTAGTTTGTTGTGAAAATGTTGATCCTAATGCCGTACTATAAATATTATAAGATGCTTACTGAAATCCTCCGCAACGCCGAGGGAAATTATTGACATATTTTTACGCCGTTGGTTGGCGCTAGACTGTGACACTAAAGACTCTATACAATGTATACAATGTATACAATGTATACAATGTATACAATGTATGTAATTGTTTACGTTCTTAATCGTCACGTTACATTAATTTGTCACGTTACATTTCGCAGTTATACTGCGAAGTTTCCCTACTTTGCCTATACATTGTTACAGCTTATTGCGTCAGATGTGCACGCATGCCTCATATCAGATACAATAACTATTATTGTGGTAAAATTATGTTTAAATTAGAGAGCACCGACTCGGTGCAGTGCAATGAAAAGACGTTGACCCCAATGTTTCTCTTTGATAATTATTCCAGATCTTCAGATAAGTCTTTCGATCTTGCCTATAACGTGTCGTAACTTCTAGGGCGCAAACTATACTGGTGCATGCTTAGTAGCCGCCAAATACAATATTAGCAGAGAGCGCAGACTCGTTTAGTTTGATCTAAAAATAACATTACCAATGAAAGACGAGCAGCATTCATTATTTTTCGGAAAACTGCCCAGTCACTCTAACTTCCCTATAATATGGCATAACTTTTAGCGTGAGATCACTCTGCGCGCATGCCTTATATTTGTTAAAATCAAGATGATTTTGTTGCTATGTCTTATAAAGTAGGGCGTGGATTCTCACGCGGAGTGTAATGAGGAAAGCGTCGATGATATGGAAAATGTCGGTTCCAATTGCTCATTTTAATTGTTATATGGCGCCCTGACGCCTGACAATGCTATAAGGTAGTCTAACTTATACAGTTGCATTTGTCTGGGCATATGCCGATTTGCCGTTATTAGAAATAATATTTTGCGGAAATAATAAAGAAATGATGAATAAATAATAAAATAAAGTTTAACATTTGAAATATTAAACTGCCTCTGTTATTTTATTATTTATTCATTATTTCTTTTTTAAATTCTAACAGAATGTGATTTATGTTAGCAGATACTAAGCATTTGTGCATTTACAATAGAGATGGAATACTGGAGAATCGGATTCTATACGGGTTAATTAGAATAATACCTCCCTTATATAACAAGAGGAAGTCCAAACACCCTAACATCTCGATTTCGTACATTTTGTAGCCCTTTGTTAGCGCTAGTGTTGCGCAGAAGTAGTACTGTACGGTGATAAACGAAACATATCTACATATATTTTGTTGACGGTATACACGTGTAATGAGCACACACTCAGGAGCAGTTAGATATGCAAGATATTGATCCCAGTGACTCACTTTTTACGCCTTCAATTGCAAGGCGATAAATGTTCAAAACTTCCTTAATGCGTGCGATAGATAATGGGGTATTATCTGCTAACACAAATTATACTTTGTTAAAATATGACATGACATAATGAGGAATAGGGTTCGATAAAACATATTTAACGTATTGCCTCTTTATATAATAGGAGAGAGCCCAACCCATATTACCCGCAACACCGACTAAAATTAATTCCATTTTTCACTGCCGTTGGTCGGCGCTAGTGTCAAACATGTGAAGTAGTGTCAGAGCACGTGATCTGGTAGTGTATGGTTCTCAACGAAACCTATCCATGCATAAGTTTGTAGGGAGTATACTACACTTGTAGCGATCACACGCTCAGAGATAAACGGATACGAAAAATGTTGATCTCAATAGTTATCGTCAGTAATGCCAGGCAGAAAATATTCCAGCCATTTAGTGTCGACCGGTGGCGCCGTCGGGTGGCGCCGAAAGACACGAAACGCTACACCTCCTTCAAGCGTGCGATTGATTGCGGGGCCACGTGTATCTGTGCGCGTGCATATTGTCTGCTAGCATAAATTTCATTTCATTTTTAGGATTGTGTATTCAAAAGGGGAAAGACTTAAATAGAGTTCCATGTATCGAAGTATTGTATGCTGATAAACAAAATGTATATTTACATATTATTTTTCGTAATAATAGACCTATAGTGATTAGTGAGAATATATATACTCAGGACTATTTATATATGAAAAGTTTTGATCCCATTCACTCACTTATAAAGGCGGTAAATCTTTCTAACCTCGTTACAACGTGCGATAGATGGGTGTCTATCATAGAAATAATATACTAGTTATACTAGTCTCTATATTATATTTCTATAGTGTCTGCGCGGGTGCCTACTACCTGCTAACAGAAATCACATTTTGTAGGAAGATAGAACTGTGTTTTAAAAAAGGAGCGTATGAAAAGAACTCTCATGAAAAGAACTCTTTAAAAATGCGAGTCGTATAGCCTTCCTAATAAAATAAAAGAGAGCCGAATTCGCTATACATTCCGATTCCCCGCAACGCCGAACGTATTTATGTACATTTTTCGTCGCCGTTGGTCGGCGCCAGTGCCACTCACGAGAAGTAGGGCATAATGCTAAACGAAATATATTCACATAAAGGTTTTGCTTACTCATTTTGCCAAGAAGGGCAAAGCTACGGGTGGCTTGCGCTCTGGGGTGTTGACCTTGTGCAGTTAGCCCGTCGACGTTGCCCTAGCAGGCCGCTAGCTACGTCCCTGCTTACTTTATTCATTACGCTTATAAGGCGACGAATCACCAGAGAACAAGTACCCCTTCCCCTATCTATTTTTCCTGCTATTCAAATTGCAAAATGATAAGTAAAATAAAACACAACAATCAGCACATAACGAAACCACATGAGAAATAGGCATTTTATCCCAATATACTTACTATACCACTGAATTTATTTTCATAACTTTGTAGTTTTGTATAAATGTTAAGAATTCAATCTATAGCATAAGCACAATCTAAAATGTTGTCCTTGTTGAACGTTGGCACTAGCTGTGTTGCTTACATGTAGCGAATTCAGATATCTGAACATATATATTTCGAAATTAGTGAATTACGTAAATCGTAAACCACAGTGGACAGGTTCTCTATTGTGTTGGCTGGAAAACGAGTAATGATCAACTAGTGTATTAAGCGAGGGCTGTATTTACACAAGTATCTACTTCATGCAATCTACACTCACGATACTGAAGCTTAAATTTATGTTTCATGCATGGACTGTTACTTACACAGCAGCCGTACAAAAAAATATCTCACATTTGATTTGTAACGATCATATGCACATACATATAACAATACACACAGACCTACCTGATCTCTCATTCTTTTCCTCTCATTCACAGAGATGTACAATTCGAAATGGTTTTTGCAGAATCAGCAAGAATTTAACAACCGATTTTCACAAGATTCATGTTGATCACTGTACAAATCTCACTGAACACATATACCTATGATACTACAAACACACACGTTGCTGTGAGCAGCACCATCGCGGTTTCGCTCGTCACTCACCGCAGCCGACTTCTGTGCATGGTTTCACCCATACAATAACGTCCGTTTGTACAAAACTCATGGAAGACTTGATTTGCGACAAATAACACGTATAATAAATAATAATAATGCACTAAAACAGACGATACAACTAGACCACACACAAATCCATTCATTAAGTACCACTTACAAGGTTACAGTACAGAATGCTCCACAAACACTACTAAAAGAGGTACATCGATGAACCAGCGCTATAAAAAGATTCTTAAAAACATTACAATATCACTGAACGCTGCTTTAAATATATAGCTGATCCTTGAAGCCATGCTTTCTTTCTGTTCACACAACAGCTGCTTTTCAACAGAGAAACCCGGGTCAAGTACAGGGCTAAGCATTACGTTGCAGGCTATAGCTGCGTGACCGCGCCACATGCACCGAGGGTGTCTACTCGCTGTAGGCCACCGTTCGCGTGCAGACTAGTGTGATTGGTGTGTGAGCTGGCCATCGTCGGCTGTGCTACTCTCGCTTCTGCAACCTGATCACGTGACCAGTGTGGGTTCGCCACACCGGTGCTCACGCTGCCCCTCTGCGGCTGGTTGCCACCGTTCCTCACGTCTTCCACGCTGCACTGGAGAGCCGCGTCCGACAGGGAAGCTACCGGAACGTCGCGTTGCCGTTCCTGGACAGAGCGTCCCGTACTGTGCCGCCGATGTTCGCTCGCCGCGGACGCCCCGTGCGCGTTCGCTCGCGGAGAGGAGGCGTGGACGCGCCGAAGTGACTGTACGCCGGCGACCTGACCCCCGTGGGTCGACGTCGCGCCCCCGCAGCGAGCGACGTCCGACTGAGGCGCAGCAGCTACCGGGGCGTGCGCGGGGTGCTGGGTCGTCGTCGTCGTCGTCGGCTGACACCTGGTGCGTGAGATCGTCATGAGGGTCACGGCCTGCTGCGTGGCCCGCGGGCGGGCGTCGGTGACGGGCCGGTGCGGGTTCGGGGTCGTGCGCGGGGTCACCGCCTGCAGGATGTCGTCTGAAACGGTCGCCGAGATGCTGGGAATGCTGGGAGCGTGCGGCCGCCTGCACTTGTGCTTCTGTCTGTGTGGTGTAGCAGCCTGCGCGTGTACTGATGGCACATTAGCCTGTGGTGATGACACACCACTGTGAGTTTGAGCTGATGGCACGCCACCGTGAGTCTGTGGTGATGGCACGCCACCGTGAGTCTGTGGTGATGGCATATTCAACGGCTGCGCAGACGAGTTGCTGCTAGCTGGCACCTCAGCCTGTGGCTCCATCTGTGGGCTGGGACTGCTGTGAACTTGTGCCACCGTACTCACGGAGCTGCGAGCCGTCTCTGCACTGATAACAGCGATCTCTGGCGGGTTTGAGCTTGCCCGTGTGGAGTTAGCATTGGGTGGGAGTGACGGTGGTGTTGGCTGGCCTGGCAGCACCTGTGAGCTGCTGATCGTAGGCCGTGGTCTGTACGGCGGTAATCCCAGCATGCTCTCCTGCGACCTGCATGACAAATAATCTGGCATGAAAATACAACTACGCACGTGACTCACAATTAAGGTACACCACGTTGGCAATAGTGTCGCCTGCAGTTGCACGGCTACATAACTCCACTCCCCTATAATAACATGAGACGTTCCGCGTGCATAATTTTATTTACACTACCTGTACACGCAACATCACAAAGGTGGCAAACTAAAACGATTCTCAACATAATACCAACTCTATACGAAAATCAGCGGATATAGATGGAATAGCATGATAAAAAGTGAGGGTTTACCTGTAGCTGGGAGGTAGTGATGGGTTCCTGTTGCTACGAGCTGGAATGTCGAGCATAGGTCTCATTGTACCTGCATTTGACCTGCACACATACAAAAACAGACCGAGCCAATGAGCAAGGACAATATGAGTGTTAGCAATAACATATGTCTCATGGAAAAGTAAAAATATGAACTCTAATATAATTCATCCATACTTTGAAACAGAAGAAAGAAATCTCCTTGGAAAATCCTCGGAGCATTGCAAATACCAAGGTCGGCTGGTTATGTAGCTAGTGTGGGTGGAGGTATCTGTAGCTACGTCGTAGAGAGTACTGGGGTGGACTCATTAGTTGGTGAGCGGGGTGGGGTGGGGATGGTGTATGATGGTGGTGGGTGGTAGTGGTAGTGGTAGTGGTAATTGGTGGACAGGTGGGGTGGGGAGAGGCGAACAAAACAGTGCCTTTTTACAAAGGCTGCACTCCCTCCTTCCTCAAATCCTGGATCTGCCCCTGTAGTGTGTATGGTGTATGATGTTTTACATGTAGGTACGTGGGGGAGAGTACTGGGGTGGACTCATTAGTTGGTGAGTGGGTGGGGGTAACCTATTCTTGTATTTAATTGGTGCTGCATACTGTAGTGGTAGTGTTAGCTAGTGTGTATGGTGTATGATGTTTTACCTGTAGGTAGGTGGGGGAGAGTACTGTGGTGCGGTAGTTGTCTCTGGCGTTGATCTCTCCCACAGAAGTCTCAGCCGGTAGTCTTGCATCGATGCCTGGTAGGACGGTGGGGGTTGTCGGAACTGGAACTCCGGGTACAGCATAGCTGAAAATGCACGCCGAGCGTGAATATGTTAGTCTAGATCAACAGATTTGGAAAACTGGGCTAGAGTCTCAGCCGGTACCGGAACGTCGCGTTGCCGTTCCTGGACAGAGCGTCCCGTACTGTGCCGCCGATGTTCGCTCGCCGCGGACGCCCCGTGCGCGTTCGCTCGCGGAGAGGACGCGTGGACGCGCCGAGGTGACTGGACGCCGGCGACCTGACCCTTGAGGGACAGATGATTGACCGACTGATGAGATCTATTGGGGCTGGGTAGAGGATCTATTTCATCATGTATACACGTTTAAAAGACATGTGCGCTCGCCGAAAGATTATTTGCGAACAGGCACATAATCCACTATAATGAAAGGAAATCTGTATGGAAGTAGGGGAAAATAAACGAAGTCAGTGTACCAACTTTTTTCAACTGGGAGCCAAAACAATCGAGAACACTCATTGAATGACGAAGCCAACACCAACTCACCAGAATAAGGGTGCGCTCCCCGGCCTCCATACGTCTGAGAGTTGCGTGGCGCGAACACGTCATTGTTTGGGCCGTTGCTGTGGTTACGGAACCCCAGAAGCCAAGAGCAGTTGGGAGTATTTGGAGAGGTGATGCGCCATGCGACTCCACTCACGGTAGTCAGAACCATGCCAACACCTGCAAGCACAACCAAATGAAACATATATAGGGCCTAGATACCAAATCAATAAATAGCAGGAGTGATAGATATCATCAAAAATACATCATACACTGTACACGCACGTAAATTAAACGTATAAATATGCACGTTACTAGTAGCAACTAACACACCAACACTAATAATTCAGAGTAGGGCGCAACGGCACCAGGGCATCAAAATGCTTAGCCTTTGTGACTGCAAGCCTGTTTTTTTTTCAGTGACAAAAATCTGTCTCAGTTGAAATCGAATAAATTAACTTATAAAATATGTATATAGTCAGAATCCATTCGACATAGCTGTATCTCCTCTCAATCGTATTTCTTTTAAGGAGTTGTGGGGGTACCTCTACCTCTACCTCTACTCTACTCTACATTCGCTATGGCCCTATAGCTCCTTGCTAGAAGTCCCGGATCTACCCCTGGGTGTAAATACAGGATTAATGTGTCTTTCATTCTAAAACGCAAGCTTTCGAGATGCACCTCTCGCCATCAGATTTACAATATCGGATTTCTGTTACACACTGTTACATTATTGCATAATTTTATCAAGAGTCCATAATAGAACATTCTATATAATTTATATATATATAGGCCTATATATATATATTATATATTATAGATATAGATTTTCTATTATGGACTCGATTATATTATACACGTGCTGTCGATGTGACTCTGGTAATCAGAAGCACAACCCAAACGCATGCTCTGTCAAAACTAAAGACACCTTGGGCCTATAAATGGATAGATAAATTGCATCGTCATGCATTATATTTACATAAATATACAGTGGAACCCCCTTACGTAAAAATTGGTGGTGTCGCACTATAGCGGAAATCTATACTGTATCAGGTAGTGAATGAAAACATTTTATTTACTCTTTATATTATTTGTAGGTTATCTATTTCTGATATAATGTACATATATCAGGGGTTAATAATGACAAAATCTGTCATTAATTATTAACCCTGATGTATATATGCGAGATGGCAGTTAAGTTATACGACTCTATACAGAATTCTATCCGGTTAGCGTTTTAAGCGTATTTACTGGATTAACTAGAAAAGGCAGTTGTCGCCAACCACATGTATCCCCCGTGTTCTCCCCAAGATGTGTAAGTATACGAAGTTTGGTCGCGCTAGGTCAATTAAGGGCCGAGTTATAGAGCGGAAGGGAAATATGATGAAGGTCAAGGTCAAGGTAAATGTCAAATAAAGGTTGCAGTGACCTGGTTTCGGTACACGACACACCTTCTCCCCAAGATGTGTAAGTATACCAAGTTTGGTCGTGCTAGGTCAATTAGGGGCCGAGTTATAGAGCAGAATGGAAATATGATGAAGGTCAAGGTTAAGGTAAAATAAAAGCCGCAGTGACCTGGTTTTGGGTAGCGCTAGGTCAATTAGGGGCCGAGTTATTGAGGAGCGGAAGGAAAATATGATCAAGGTAAAGGTAAAGATCAAATAAAGTCGTAGTGACGCTGGTTTTTGGGTAGCGCTAGGTCAATTAGGGGCCGAGTTATAGAGCGAAAGAGAAAAATAAAGGTCGCAGTGACCTGGTTTTGGTACGCTGCCCACACTTCTCCCCAAGATATGTGTAACTAGACCAAGTTTGGTCATGGCTAGTCAATTAGGGGTCGAGTTATAGAGCGGAAGGAAAAATCTCTGCGGCAGACGGAGCGGCGGCGGCTGTAGCAGACATGACACCCAATAGTATCCCGGCCGGACTTCGTCGCGGGGATACAATTAATTAGTATTTAATTAATACCATTATAAGTCATGCTTCTTGGCTTATAATTCAATGATAAAAGCTGTGTAGAAGAATTCTGATAAGGACACGCTAATATTACTGAGCTGAAGCCTAATATGGATACTGCATGTGCACACAAAGCCATACAGTAGCTAATGACATTAAAAACATATAATAGCACACTCCTGATACAGATACTAGAGTGTTCTTTACTAGCTGTGTTGTTAGGCAATTAGGCTATTGGCGGTCGAACAAACAAGCACCTGTGAATAGCGCTTTGCTTTACTTAAGAATATGGGCAAACATGTGATATCTAAATACTGCCAATTGAGTACTCAAGTCATAGGCATGTAAACTACGTCTAAATACACAATGAATGGACGTGGCGGGCACTAGGTGTACCACATACTATGCTAACATAATGTTCACGGCATAACTGTTGGACTTTTTTGGTTTTAGAAAGCCAACATTTCTAGTTTGCAAACCGTCATAAGCGGTTTATTTTTGTACCGAGCGTAAAGACAAAACGCAATATTTTCATTTCAACGGAGGTGATAATGATTGATTTGTAAATTCAATTAGATTACTTGAGCAGCGGTGACATTTAAAGCCGCCCCTACAAACTGTAGGCTGGCACATTATAATAGCGGCTTGATATCAGTTCAGTGATAGTTCATAAATGGCTGCAGTACACATATGAGGACTTCATTCAGAGAAGCTTGATGGAGCCGTAGCTAGTATTTTCATAAAGTATATATAAATATATGATATATAATATATTATATATATATATATATTATCATATATATATATATATAAGCATAATCGTTGGAAACGGGCCGTGATGCGTTATAATAGTGCAATTTTTCAGCAGCAGCAGTTTAGTTATGATTCTCACTTCCCTCTAGTTATAGTATTCTCAAGATTATAATTGAGTGAGACGCGGATTTCCAGGTTGCCTATACGTACTATTCCCTTACTTTACTTGGGCCCATTGAGCAGTGTTTTAACGGAGTTTTCCAATAGGTTGTCAGCTGATCAACCCGGTAACTGATTTCATTGCCCACAAGGTAACATCCACAGGCACTTGGGCCGGTTCAATAATAAAATGATGGTTAATAAATACAACATGTCAGTACTAGACCTACCAGTACCAGTAATACTAATAGTCTTAATGTTTGATTTGACCTAATAACTTCACTTCAATACCATCCAATACACCGCTGCAACACACATTCCTATAGCGCGCACGCCATTGTGCACAAATACACAGTCATATAGAGCTCTATATAGAGATTCCCTATTATCTACTCCTGATAATCACGATGTGCTACGGTGTGCACGCGTGCGTGTATGTGTAAGACAATCGCGACGTGCTACTGTGTGCGCGCGTGCGTGCATGTGTTAGATTATGACGATGTTCTAGTGTACACACGCGTGCATTACGTAATGACAAACAGCAAGACGGCGTGCAACAAGTATGGCCTGCATCATTAGCTGCAACGCTTACCACGCGTGCTGTTCATAGTCAACCTCGCCTAACTACGCAACGTGCAATTTTGCAAGTTAAATGACCTAATCGGCTTAGAGAATTTGATTGTCAGCTATAGTCGGAGTTGAAATGGCTTTTCTCGGTTAATCGGCTCGATAGACGCGGTCTTGTCGGAAATTAATCCGTTTAATGCGTTGTTTTCGTAATCGGTAGCGTATCACTTAAATTCCAGGCGCTATTAACGCTGCTTTAATGGGCACTGCCTGCCCATATTCTCACCACCTCCGCCTATTCTTTTTACCGGCACTTCGCGTAAAAAATTGTATACACTAAACGAGACCTCCATTGGTTTACTACTTAGCAACCTAGGTCGGGTAAACATACCCTTAGGTCAATAGTACAGCTAGTAGAAAACTTGTTCAGACGGGTGCGGAACAGACCCGCTTTTGTAAAACAGATCAAAACTGTGGGTCCGTCCTGCAGGTCCCTGAGTGAAAGTGAATACTTCACTGCGCACCGCAGTGCAATGACCTACCTCCGCACAGCTAACAACGCTGCGTGCCGATCATTGTGACTGTGAGTCTGTGAGGGCCTTCAATACACACCCAACAATTTCTACACCTATCCGTCTGTCTCTGTCTCTGTCTCTGTCTCTGTTTCTGTCTCTGTCTCTGTCTCTGTCTCTGTCTCTGTCTCTGTCTCTGTGCGTCGTGCTCTCTCGTTTCTCATGCTGTCTCCTCTGCTCGTCTCTATCTCTCTCTCTCTTTTCTCTCAGTCGCGTCTGCTCTCATCTGCTTGCTCTCTCGTCTCCTCTCTCTCGTGTCTGTCTGGTCTGTCTTCAGTCTCTCTCCATTTCTCTCGTCGTGGCGGTCTCGTCCGTCTCTCTTCTCTCGTGTCGGATCGTCTCTGCTCCTCTCGTACTGGTCTCAAACCGGCGAATAAGAAATCCAGAGTGATAACGGGGATGCGGGCCTCTGTCTGCTGGTCTCTCGTGCTTGTCGTAGCCTGTCCTACACTGTCTGTCTGTTGGCTGTCTGTCTATCTGTTCACAACCCCGCCGCCGGTTAGTCGCGGCTCATGTCGTATATATATCGTACCTTAATATAATAGTGGAAGGGAGCCGTAAGTGTCGTTTTCTACGTAGTTACTCCTGTCGTCGAGCTCAAGACCAGTGTCGCGTGTGCTCGCTGCCGCAGATACGAGCTGGGGGAATCGAGATGGAGGGGGCCCCTCGTGGGGGCGGGGTCGGGCGACACTTAGATTCCGTTCTACGTTAAAGAAGCGATTTTCGACGTTAAAACGTGACTTGTTCAGTGCCGTGGAAACCTAAAAGTTCATGTGCCGCGAAGAAAGAATCTTCCGGCATTCATTCGTGGCGAAAAACACCGCAACGATCAAACTTTTACCAGATCGCAAAACTCGGGGACAATGCGCATGCAGTCAAGCAGAGTAGCGCTGAATACGCTTGTGGATGACGTATGGTCTCGCAATCGCAACGCCGCACCGAACAAATTTAAGATCGGCAATCGGCATGCGCATCCGAGATCACAGCATTGAATCACCTGGCTACCGAACGTGCACGTGGTGTTGGCGCGCGTGGTGGGTACAACTGTAGCATGTATGTATGTATGTATGTATGATAGGTGTGTGTGTGTGTGTGTGGTGTGTGTGGTGTTGTGAGTGGAGTGTGTGTGTGTGTGTGTGTGTGTGTGCGTAGTGTGCTGTGGGTGTGTGTGTGGTG